GGCCCCCGAAGCGAACTTTCAGGCTTACTGGACACGGCTATGCACTGAAGAACTAAGACCTGCCCTCAGGTGGAACTCAGGTGACGCCGGCGTCGGAGTGGAGGACGTTCTGCTGCGGGTCCCCTCTCTGTCCCCCGCCGGTCTTTTCGACCCTTGACTAGGTGCTCCTCCTCGTCGAGCGTCTTGGCCAGTCTTTTCAGCTTACTCCGCAGCGACTCTGTGGCAGTTCCCCCCCCTGGCCATCCCCCCTCCTCGGGTGGGCAGCTTGACGACCATCTCCCCGACTTGGAGGGTTCGCCTCTGTTCTTGGTCTGCTCTCTGGCGGATCCGTAGGCCGAGCTGTGCCCCAGCGACTCGGGCCGAGAGAGCTGCGGGTGGCGCCTCCGGCCTTGCTTCAACCTGGACTTCTTCCAGGTCCTCCCCTGCCTGGCGTGCACTCCCCCCATGTTCTCGGAGGTCGTTCATGACCTGGCGTACTAGCTCGTCTTGCTCCAGCGGCGGCGTGACACTGCTGCCCTCCTCCGTCTTCCCCAGCTGCTCATTGCTCTCCCCCACTGGTGTCTCAGGCTGGTTAGAGGAGGGAGTGTCCACTCTCTCTTCTTCCACACAGCCAAAGGAGCAGCGGTCGCTACCCCTCGCACGCATGCGCGCACTGTGGATCCACTCTCTCTCTCTCTCTCCTGGCCATGGGGACGGGTTAACGTCCCTGGGCTGAGTAGCCCACCCAATGTGTTATTGGGTGTACGGGGAGTGAGAAACGAATATTTGGTCACCTTTCAGGCTTTAGCCATAAAGTATACGATAACGGAATAGGTGACCGCATATTCTCCATAGAAACATGCATGAGGATAGGCACATCCTTTCCCCTGCCTCGTTGAAAAGATCTATCCCCCATACCAGAATGAAGTTAGTTTTACGTGACAGAGAAGGATGTCCCCCTCGTAGGGAGTGCAATATCGACTCTACGACTCTCGTTAGGCCAAGGGCCTTGACTCAATCATCGATATGATTCAACACACGAGCTCTGAGTAGCAATTAATGATGGCAAACAGCTCTTTCCCCCTTGCCCTGTCTGTGGCTTGGCATGCAGGACTTATGGGTTGTCATAGTCATGGCATAGTGTCAACGTTGGCCACTCTTTCAAGGATGGCTAAAACGGGATAAGGGGTATACTGGGTCTGTCTCTCTCTCTCTCTCTCTTGCTTCTTGCTTGCTAGG